GGGATTTTTTGGGATTTGGGATTTTTGAGATCTTTGGAATTTTTGGGGTTTGGGGATTTTGGGCATTTTTAGGATTTGGGATTTTGGTTTTGGGGGATTTTTTGGGATTTTTGGGATTTGGGCAGAGGGAAAAGGGATTGGGAATTTTGTGAGGATGAGGAGGGAGAGGAAATTTGGGAATGAGCGGGAGGAAAAATCGGGAATTTTGGATTTATTGGGAGTTTTGGGAGGGGAAAATTTGGGAATTTTAGAGACTTTGGGGAATTTTTGGGACGGGAGGAGGGAAAATCTGGAAAATCTGGAAAGGATCGGGAAGAGATGGGGGAAAATTTGGGAATTTTGGGGGAAAAATTTGGGAATTTTGGGGAAAAATGGGAATTACTGGAGAATATTTGGGAATTTTCGGGGGAATTTGGGGGAATTCTTCAGGAATTATTTGGGAATTCTGTGGGGAATCTTCTGGAATTATTGGGAATTAATTGGGGAATTAGTGGGAAAATATTTGGGAATTTTTGGGAATTTCTTGGGGAAATATTTGGGAATTATTTGGGGATTTTTTGGGAAATTATTTGGGAATTCTTGGGGATTGTTTGGGGAATTATTTGGGAATATTTGGGGAGTTCTTTGGGAATTTTTGGGGAATTCTTGGGGAAATATTTGGGAATTATTTTGGGATTTTTTGGGAAATTATTTGGGAATTATTTGGGGATTTTTGGGGAATTATTGGGAATTATTTGAGAATATTTGGGGATTTTTTTGGAAAGTATTTGGGAATTCTTTGGGAAATTCTTCAGGAATTCTTTGGGAATTTTTGGGGAATTATTGGGAATTGTTTGAGAAATATTTGGGGAATTCTTTGGGGATTTTTGGGAAATTATTTGGGAATTATTTGAGAATATTTGGGAAATTATTTGGGAATTCTTGGGGAGTTCTTTGGGAATTTTTGGGAATTATTTTGGGGATTTTTTTGGGAAATTATTTGGGAATTCTTTGGGGAATTCTTCAGGAATTCTTTTGGAATTCTTTGGGAATTTTGGGGGAATTTTTAGAAATTTTTTTGGGATTTTTGGTAATTATTGGAGAATATTCAGGGAGTTTCTTTGGGAATTCTCCTGGAATTATTTGGGAATATTTGGGAATTCCGTGGCAATTTTTGGGAATATTTGGGAACTCTTTGGGAATTTGGAGGGAAATATTTAGGGATTATTCAGGAAATTCTCTGGGAATTCTTCATGAATTATTTGGGAATTTTTGGGAATTTTTTGGAGAATTCTGTGGGAATTCTTTGTGGATTCTTGGGGAAATTATTGGGAATTTTTTGGGAATTATTTGGGGAATTCCTCAGGAATTTTTTGGGATTTTTGGGGAATTCTTCAGGGAAATATTTGAGAATATTTGGGAATTTTGTGGGAATTTTTGGGAATTATTTGAGGGATTTTTTGGGAATTATTTGAGAATATTTGGGATTTTTTTTAGGGAATTCTTTGGGGAATTCTTTGGAAATTTTTTGGGAATATTGGGGAATTTTTTGGGGAATTTTGGGGAATTTTTTGGGAATTCTTTGTGCTCAGGGGCGGCTTCCCAAGGATTCCAAGGAAACGGAAATTGTTGGGAAAAATCCGGAATTTTATTTTCCCACGTTTGACACCAGAAGAAAATTAATGACTAATTATCTATTAGTAATTATTGATTAGTAATCATTGATTATTAATTTTTGATTAGTAATCATTGCATTGTTAGCACATATTTAATTATTAATCATTAATTATTAATTAATCGGTGAAAATTCCCAGCAACATCAAAAAAAACCCGGAATTCTCTTGGGAAATTTTTTCCCAAGCCTGGAATCGGCGGGAAAAAATTGGCGGGAAATTTCCTGATGGAAGCCTGGGATTTTGGGGAAAAAATTCCCGCTCCAAGTTTGGAATTCCTGGGAAAAAATTCCCACAAATTCCAGGAAAAAATTCCCGCTCAAAGCTTGGATTTGGTGGGGGAAAATTCCCGATCAAATTTTGGAATTCCTGGAAAAAAAATTCCTGCTCCAAGTTTGGAATTCCCAGGAAAAATTCCTCCTCAAATTTTGGAATTGGTGGGAAAAAAATTCCCTCAAATTCTAGGAAAAAATTCCCGCTCAAAGTCTGGAATTCCAGGAAAAAATTCCTGGAAAAAATTCCCGCTGAAAGTTTGGAATTCCAGGAAAAAATTCCCGCTTAAAGTTTGGATTTCCAGGAAAAAATTCCGCCTCAAAAATTGGAATTCCAGGAAAAAATTCCCGCTTAAAGTTTGGAATTCCAGGAAAAAATTCCTGGAAAAAATTCCCGCTGAAAGTTTGGAATTCCAGGAAAAAATTCCGCCTCAAAAATTGGAATTCCAGGAAAAAATTCCCGCT